GACTCCAGCTGAAGGGAGGGAGGAAGTAGGTTGAACAGTTTTGCCGATTTCAAGCTTAGGTAAAACAACTAGATACACTGTAAAAAATCCCAGACACTTGGAGGTGTAAGTGGTGTGGAAAAGTCTTGAACATAAACCCAAACTATTGACATTAAACAAAGGCCCGCTTACGAGGGAACCGCGGATAAGAAGGGTTTATATAACAGAGGCACCAAGTGAGGCTTATACAAGACAATAAGAAATGTTCCTTGTCGTTGACTCCTCCCTCCCTTCCACCCCCCCCCCCCCCGGCAAACTTCTCCCCCAGGCCATTGTTACAAGGATAAAGTGGTTATTCGCCCAATTAGCCCAGTCAATAAAGACCCAAAAACAGTGAACTTCGGAAATAATTAGGGTAAAGCTGAATTTTACCCTATTGATAGATATATACTAGAGGAACATTTTTACAAGAGTCCCCGAAAATCCCCCCCGAGCTTCCCCCCCCCAGCCACCCACAAAGGTTCAAAGTGTCGATTATTACAAATTTGCCATTTTCTCTGTAATTAATAATCGGATCGCATACATCCTTTTGTCATTTTGTTTGCCGTTAACAGAGCTACAATATTGATCCTTTTCATTTTTACGTTAACCCAATAATTAGTTATCTACAGACTTATTTACACAAAAGAATAGGTAAATTTAAAGTTTACTTTTGAGTTTTTCAGTTATATCTTTTTTGTAGGTGGTATTAGAACAAATACTTTACTATAAATAATGTAGACAATCATTTTACGAATCCATTGATATACACTTATATACGGTTATGTGTGATATTACCATCAGGAAGGAAGAAAGAATGTGAATGGTTCTACGCGGCAGACACCGCGCGGGCGACGACCAGCTGGCGTAGGGAAATTTGTGCGCCAGAGATTGGCAACACTACACTTTATTTTGTGTTGTGACTTGACATTGATATGACAGTTTTGTGTAGTAGTAGTAGTGCAGTTAGTTTGAGTGAAATACCTTTAGGCCTTATCATTTAAAAACCGTTTGGTGTATTATTAGTTTGTTTAAAAATGTGATTTTATTTTAATAACTAGCTTAGTATTGTTTGTGTTAAAAATATATACAGGGTGTTTGGTAGTCAGTGTCAAATATTTTAAGGCATTATTAAGCAAGCAAATTGCGATAAAAATACGCAATTTGGATCGTTATATCTCACTCCTATTTCCGACAACAGTCATGTTTAGATTTTTCCAAATTTCTTGACATTGCCTAATGAAATCTCATATGTCCCAACTGTTAACCTACATAATGATATTTTCAATTGGAATTTTAGAATCGTCATTAAATTTTCTACCAGGACCCGTAAAATATGGTACAGGTTAACCCATTCAAAAGTTTGTAAATTTGACTTAAATAACAAATTTTGAAAAATCTATAAAAAGGGCACTACAACTCGTTTAAGAAAATTGTTTATCAAGTCGTGTTTAAAACTGTCAAATAGTATAAAAAAAATCTCTACATTTTAAGCTTTAAAATTATATGCAATCATATGTGACATGTAATGTCAGCCTAAGGGGAGAAATATTGCGTCAAACATAAAATTAATCATTTTTTTCATAAAGTGCACTCATTAATTACAAGAACGCATTTAGTGAATGTTGTGTGCAAAAGGTATCTGTATAATTAAGGATACCCCAAGTAAACTTGTAAAATCTAATACTCTAGTATAGTACAGCCCAAACTAGTTGTAGTGCTTTGAATGTAACGTAAAAGTAGTGATATTTATAAATACACACGTTAGTTGTGATTACGAAGACACTGATCATTTGTAATTTAGATTATTTCTACCGAACGAATTTTCAAATACAAGGTAGGCCTGATATATTTTTTATTGGAAACATACAAATATCATGGATAAGCTGCACCTTAAGAATCTTAAATACAGGTTATGTCTGATGCATGTTCTTGATGCATATACTGCACACGTAAATTATTTTACAAACAATTTATTTAATGGGACATATATTTATTCGACAAACTTAATTGACAAACCTATCTAGGTTTTTGCAGCACACCCTAACTGCAGTCTTGGATTACTTAGATTTTTGTCAAACTTAAATAGAAAGTATAACATTTTAAAATAGCATTCCTTTTTATTATACTAATGAGGTAAGAGACTTAAGTCATCTGGATTTTTGGACGAGGCAGACCCTTTGCATGGACAGCCAGATTCCCTGATCTTATGCCTATCTTATTCCTTGTTTTGGCATTCGTTAATAGTGAAGTGTATACTGTACTACAGATGTATACAGTGAAGAGGACTTGAGAAAGCTTTATAATTGACCGTAGTTGTACAAAAGTTGAGAGGAACCCTTTCCAATAAGATTACAGCTGCACCAATAAAGAAAAGCTAAAGAACACACAGTCAGGTAGTTTTAACTACATATTATTCATATTACCAATTTTTTAAGTGCAGCTTTTCCATGTTTCTGTTTGTTTCCAATTAAACTAAATAATATCCTCTTGTATTTCAAAATTTGTTCTGTAAATAACTTAAATTAAAAAAATAATGTTTATTATTTATTCTTTTAATTACTTCTGACCTGTGAATTTATAAAATACTCTATACTAACCTGGTATTCAATAATTCAAAGCCCTTTGACTATGTACTGTGGTATTCAACATGTACTAAAATATTAGATTTTACAAGTTAACTTGAAAAACTCAAAAGTAAACTTTAAATTTACCTATTCTTTTGTGTAAATAAGTCTGTAGATAACTAATTATTGGGTTAACGTAAAAATGAAAAGGATCAATATTGTAGCTCTGTTAACGGCAAACAAAATGACAAAAAGATGTATGCGATCGGATTATTAATTACAGAGAAAATGGCAAATTTGTAATAATCGACACTTTGAACCTTTGAGGGGGGCTGGGGGGGGAAGCTCGGGGGGGATTTTCGGGGACTCTTGTAAAAATGTCCTTCTAGTATATATCTATCAATAGGGTAAAATTCAGCTTTACCCTAATTATTTCCCTTTCTAAACCTTTATTGACTGGGCTAAATCTCATCAAGGGTTCAGTGTAATACCTCAGTATTTATCACACTCATAACTCCTCACAGGAAAAGAGTGGGTGTGCCTTCGAGTGGTAAAACAAAAGCTAATTGTTGGATTTAATGTACATAAGAATAATACCCCCGCCGCAGCAAACCTGCATACTAAGCGAATTTCAACTTGTCTGATTACATTTTTACTACAATATTTCCATAAATAAGACATATTTATTCCCAATTTAAATAACGTTACATTTAACGAGTGCTTAGGTTTGCTGCTACGGGGAAGGTAAAAAGTGTTTTTGACCATACGTCAATAGCATAGGATGAAATAAATAAATTTGCCATATTTTATCAACATATATCCATAAACAAGTAAACTACAACAGTTTTAATTTTCTCCATGACATGGGAATTTTAAATTACACTTTTTTGTAAATTTTCTCCGTAACCGTTAGGCATACAACAGCGCTTCAATATACTAAATTATTTCCTTTTTTAAGCTCTACAAAATGGTTTAGAATGAAATTACAAGTTTTATTGTTTTTAGGGTCATAAATGGGAAAACCCCGTTTTTACCTTAAATATATATGAGTTTGAACTGATGGTGTTTTTTGTCCTCTGGGGACCTCAAAACGAATATAATATAATTTGCTCTTAGAATTTCAAATAAATATGTAGCCTATCAAAAACTACGCAATACGCTCCCTTTTAGATACAGGTAACAGCATAGGCAAAATAAGTAATCATTTTCGGTCGTAGTATTTAGTAGGTATAGTTTTGTAGACAATAATTTTACTTTCTGCACATTCAAACAACTGCCGATAGTGAAAATTACCTTGCTTGTATTTTAATTTAAAATAGAAAATCAGTGAAATAAATGAGATTAAACATTCCATGAACTACTGAGGTTCAGGAATCATTACCACAACAAATAAGTTTAAGTTCTATATTCAATATTTAAACGACAAGAAAGCTTTTTAAGACGATTCTGCTATTTCGTTAGCATTGTACGAACACAGTTAGTTACACCGGGAACTCCTTTATCAATCGCTCTACAAATAAAAATATAGAAGAAAAACATACTGCTCAACAAAAATGAATAAATCGAAACATACAATGAACCAAATGAATTTATTTTTCAAAATTACAAAATGAAAATGACTACAAATGCTGACATACATTTCCGTTAGATTTGTAACGGTTACAGTTTATCTATATTTATCAAAGGGTAGTTTTAGTACCTATAAATACATCATAATCAGATTCATTACCTCCATTAACTTGCATTAATTAGCTGTAAACTTGTGGTAGTGATTGCATGGAACAGAGGCTATCGTGGTTTTGTAACTGTACGTTGGACCGAAACAGCATGAAATATAATCATTCCGGTTCCATAAATGTAGGCCTATGACTATGTTGACCATTATCTAAACATAATTTTAATTACAGAGAATTAAGATATTCTCTTAATAGTTTTAAAGGAACTGATAATTATTGTTTTTGACTAAGTCGTATTTATTATACCCAACATAGGGCAGAAAACTATTTAACATAATAAGACGATTCAACCATTTGAATAGTCAAAAATATTTGGACATTAATAATAGAAACCAAAACCGGAATTCTTTTTTCATTTTCTCAGCGTTTATGCAGTTTTACTATTATTTTTGATTACATGTTAAGTAGCCTACAAGCCATTTTGTAGAAATTTGAAATATAGTTCCTAATTCCTGGTTCAATAATGTTATTTTAATTACTGTTGACCAATTGCTTTAAAGTAGCATTGTCTAATATGGGTGTGTATTTTGATGTAGCCTACATATTGATTAAATCAAACTTCTAGTTTCAAGTTTAATCCAGTATAAATACTAGTTTCACACTTTTTGCCAGGTTTCTAAACTTAACCACAAATAAACCCACCAATTTCTGTTGATTAAAAATTGTCTTATTTTCAGAAATGACGTCAGCAGCCGAAAAGAAGCTTAACCTGGAGCGGGCCACAAACTTCATGCGACAGTACAGAGACCCGCAGTCCCGTGAACTCAAGAAGTTGTCCGCCAACCAGTTCATGGAGGTCTGGAGTCATTACGACAAAGACGGTCAGTCCGAGTACTAGGAGAAATAGTAAATTATCGTAAGAAGGGTAGAAAGAACAACAACAAGGAGTCAAAGTTAGTGTACAAAACAATTTAAACAAATGGCTCGATTGTTAAACAAATTTAATGAGAGTAAATAAACCTAGCTAATAGTCAATGGTCATAAACGGTAGGTGAATGGTTGAAATTTAGAGGAAACTACAACATATTCGTAAATGAAACAAAACAAGTAGAGAAAATAAACATGATAAGATAACCCAGTAATAGATTTAGGTAAACTGTAATAAGTCTCGATTTTTTAAACTATTTTTTCTAGACAGATAATATTTTTTTGTAAATTATTTTAAATACGATAAGCAATTGCAGTAAAATAATTTTCAAACTTACTATAGCATGCAGCTTACAAAACTGAGTGATTCCATTGTTCGTAAGCACAATCTATGAGATGAAAAATGGACTCGGTAGAATTGAAGGTCAAACATTTAAAGAAATTCAAGCTCTAAAAGATACAAATGGGAGGTCGACACGTATGAATCTTCGTCTTAAACTAATACTTCTCAGTTTATTACAGTATCGTTAGAAAATATTATATTCACAATCTTCGTAATAATAAACGTTATAGAATCAAAACATAACAATCATGCACATAATGCAATTATTGGCTAAGCCGTTGGCATGTATAAATAAAATAAAATAAAATAAAATGCGTGAAAATGTGCATTGTTATGGACAGGTAGTGATATATTTTCATTATTGCAATATACAGATTGAGAGAGATTTTCATTTCAATTTTAAACAAACTCAAACAACCCTCTCGACAAGAGAGTGAAATAACTGACAGTAAAATAATTTCCAAAAGAAAGATAATCCAATATTGATTGATGGATTGGTTCTGAAAGCTTCGACAATCTGAAATAATTCCTTTCTAAACGTTTTCAATTAGTTAGGTTTTGGAAATCTTTCAAGCTAACGCAATTGTTTAGTTAAATCTCTAGAATTGAAGCGGCAAAAAACTCCGCAGAATCAAACATCAGAGGTTATGGAATATGTCTATTTTAACATAATGATACTAGACTAACGACTCCTTACCGTAATTAAGTTTGTACCGCAAATCGTTGTTGTATAAAATAATAACAATGCTTGGCTTAAAAGTTACTATAAATCAACCAAATGTTTAGTACTTTGTGGTTCGTTTTTTTTTAACCAAATGTTTTGTCTAATTAATCGATGTTAATGGGTCAACTTGTCTCCGTTGATGTTTTGGCCTGGATAGTTTATGTATCATACACCTGAATCCAATTAATTTCAAGCCATCAAACTTAAATATAGCTTTTCTGAGGATCGAACCAATAGTTAAGTGAGCTACGTAACCAAATACTCAACTAGGCTACAATACAGTAAGAGATTCTTGCTACTCAGTTTTAGGTTGATCTACATATAAATTAGAACTTGATCGATTCGTAACTTTAATGCTTTTAAGTTAATTTAAAGTAACTATACATAAGAAGTTCTTAAATTCCCTGACGTTCATTGTCCATTATCTGTTACAGGCAATGGGTATATAGAAGGGACGGAACTAGATGGGTTTTTGAGAGAATTTGTATCCAGTGCCAACGCAGAAAACGTCAGCCCTGAGGTAGGTTTGAGCTCTTGCAATATGCTTAGAAAAGTTACCCAAAAACATTTAAAAGGATTCGAAGAATCAAAACTTAACAATTTATGGTTTAGGTTTTTATTACAACTATTATTTTTTTCTAGCTTACATCACAGTTATCACACTAGATACAGACATAACTTTGGATACCGCACTCCACAACTAACCCATAGTTCGTTGGAAAATAACGTATTTTACATAGCTCACATCATTTACCGCAACTTGCCGCCCAACATAACTGATGCTGAATCAGGCAGTGTCGCTGTGTATAAAAGCAACGTCTGTGAGTGGCTGATGACTGCAGAGGCTATAATTCGCTCACCTTACATAAAAATTCACCTCTACCTCAAACACCACCATAATAGCTATCAACATACACTTTTATTCATATATAGAATACATATATTTTTATTGTTGTGCTTAAGGTTCTTTATTTGTTAAATAATATTCTAGTATACATGTATATTTTTAAGAGATCCTGATATGTATCCAAGAGCTTAGACGTACACATTGTTTATAAACTGTGCTCCTGTGTTTGATCTATGGACAATGGACAATACATGTTTCCTGCTGGTAAGAGCTCTTCCCTCGAGCACGGACTTGTATTCTTACCAATGATTATGTATTCATGTATATTTCAAGCTGAATAAAGTGATTTTTGATTTGATTTGATGTGATTAATAAAGTAATATATTGAGGTGGGCTAGTAATATAACACTAGATAACCTGTTGCTCGAAATCGAGCAAAACTGAAACTTGTATAAAAAAAATAAAGAAAAATATAAACAGCAAGACCTTAATCAAAGAGTCACTCTAAAATAATTTATATGACTGATTATAGAAATATACAAATATTATGATGTAAATATTAAGTAAAGAGTAAAAGTATTTATTTATATTTATATTTATTTGTTAATAAGAGTATTAAGTATTAAGAGTAAAAACTAAACTGTCTCGGCCAGTCTTTTCTTGCTTAAAAATATGTAAGCCACTACAATGTAAACATTTAACGTTCATTTGTCCGAGATTGGACTATCACAACGGTGGTACTACCACTATGTAGGTACCCATCAAATGTTCAATTGAGAGGTTGATGCAAGCGGTCATGTTCGCGTTCCCTCCAGCCACTCACAGTTCTTCGTCGTACTGGCGGCATTTGATTTTAAATTGAAATGAAATAAGAAAGTTAACCAAACAACAGAAAATACTTTAAAGGAATTGGAATTTTGATACACATTGTAAATTACATGATAATATGGTAATGTAACGGATAACTGCCCAGTGAATAATCACTTTGAAACATTCACTTCATCACATCGAACTGTAACTACATGATAATTAGTAAAATACGATGTAAGGTAAATCAATTTAACCATAGATAAAAAGAATTAAATATTTATTAAATATTTATTCTTAAACACTTTGTTGTCTAGTATTGATAAGAAACTCTTCATTATGAACCAGACTTAGTTAACAGATTGAAACAAAATATAAATTCCAGCTTTGCTCTGGAAGTTTTAAGTCCTGCAGTCTGTGGTTAACCTTAAAAACTATTTCAAACTACGTCCATATGTTATTTGTAAACAAAGGGAAATGAGTTTGATCAAATGTCAACAGATAGCGCCACCTTCCAAACTTTAGCCCTTAAGTGTACTTAAGTGGTGCCCTTTCTAAATATTCTGAGACGTATTTGCACATCTACGTGAAAATACCTTTAATTTGACACCTCAAACTTTAAAATCCATCAAGCCGTTATTGAGTTATGACTGTGAAAAGAAAACTGCTTGCGTATTAATATATAGATTAAACATTAATTTTTCGTAAGGTAACAACTCTTCATTACAAAAAAAAACAATAATAAAAATAAAAAATAAACGCATAGTGTCTATCAAATCAAATCATCTTTATTTCGCACAGAAAATCTGTATAATAGCGTTACAAAAATATAAAATAAATCTAAATTCTAAAGAACGCAAATGTAACAGAACAGTCTAAAATTGAAATTTTGTCACTTTACATTCTGTTCAACAGGTACTTTGCTGCAGCTAGAGTACGTTTTCAAATTATACTAACAAAAGTAATACTAAGTGTAAAGATTTGATTCCAATAAAAACATTTTTTATCATGTCATTAAAATATTAGTCTTGTTATTCAGTTATATTTCTTTGTTTTATTTGATTAAACTGTAATATTGCCATAAGCTTTCTCTAATCATCGCAAGTAAATGTTTTAAAGGGTTTTAGTATTTTATATTTAATGAATATAACCCAGGATACATGTTTGCAAATAATAATAATTTTTTTTGTCTGTAAAATAGTCTTTCTAGATCCACGATAGTAAATATACGAGATACTTATATATAAACAAGAAAATAATAATATATGTGTGTCTGTGTGTATATGTACATATACAAATATAACAAATATAATAAATATTATGTGTGTGTGTGTATATATGTATATATATTTTTTCTATTTGTGTCATTCCAAACCATATATTAGTTAGTCAATGTCCCACAATCGGTTGACCTCATTGTTAAGGCAGATAAAAAAAAATACCCCAGAAGTCTGGGAATTTCAGTTTATTTTGATTCAATCATGATTCTTTTATCATTTAAAACATGTTGTCAGATAAAGGGAAAACTCTGTTTTGTGCAGAAAGAATTTATCGTATCCGAAAGCCGCGGATAAGGCAACAAAAGCAGGCATTCCTACAGCCAATCCAGGCATGCCGAACGATACGCTAGCATTATCTATGGATAAGAAACCTTTTATTGAATGTCAGGAATTTTCCGATATAGATGAATTTAGAAATAGTTTTAATAGTTCAGATTCACTTTGTAACCAAAAATTCAGTTTTAGAGTATTACAGTTAAATATTCGGAGCTATAATAAAAACTTTGACGAGTTTTTAGTTTTATGGCAGGGTCCCCAGATAAAATTCCATTGTATAATTTTGACTGAAGCTTGGTTGAGGAACGACAGTGAGCTCACAGCCCTAGAAGGCTATACCCTGTTTAGAACATACAATAGCCTCAATCAATGTGATGGTCTGGTTGTGTACTTAGATGACACGTTATTAGCAACATGTAACCAGATTTGTATTGGTGGAGTCGCCACCAGCTTGTCCATAGTTTTTACCTGGGCCAATATTGATTGTGAATTAATATGCATCTACAGAAAGTCCCTCCTCGTCACTAGCTTCATTTTTCGACGGTCTTCAAACATTTCTTAGTACGACAAACAAAGTCACTTAAAATTATCGCCGGTGACATTAACTGTGAATTTCGTAATCCATGTTTAAATTCACAAGAGGAACCATACCTTGACTTGCTTTATGAATTCGGATTTATTCCACGTAAAGATAAAATCACGCGGCCAGTTAGTGATACATGTATCGACCATTATTTTATAAAACTGCCAAACAGGCTGAGTGTCAACACTTCTGTTTTACAAACTTACATTACAGATCATTTTATTGTTTCTCTTGAACTGAAAAGCTTTACAGGTATTAGTAACGGCAACGAGTTTACATACAAGAATACTAATTGGAAAAATATAACAGTAAACCTTGAAATCTCAAAATTGGCAACAAGTTTTAAATTCAAATGACTTAGATGCAGCAACTATACATTTTATTTTTATTTTGCAGAATATCATAGAACAAAACACGTCCCAACAAATATTGAGAGCTAAAACGGCTAAATTAAAATAATGGATTACGAATGGTCTTCTTACTTCTATCCGCAATCGGGATAAATTAAGTAAGAGAGTTAAGCAAAACCCATTCAAAACACAGCTCCGTGTTAGATATGTCAGATACCGTAACTCATTGAAATCCTAACTAAAACGTGCAAAAAATGATTATTATAGAAATAAATTAGATGAGTTCCAGGGAAATCCAAGAAAATTCTGGGAAATTATTAATGATGTAGCGGGGCGTTCTGCTGGCAAGTCTAAATTTCCGTTGGAAGTTTTCAGTGTGGACCGGGATACTGCCCCCACCAACGATATTAAACACATTTGTGATCATTTCAACGAATACTATGCCTCTGTTGGATCACAGGTAGCCGAAGCGCTGCAGCCCGCCGGCCCCTTGGAGGTCGATGACGCTGACCACGCCACAGATTCCCAGTTCTCACTAAGGCCTGTCACCGTTGAGGAGCTTTTAAAAGTGATAAAAAGTATTAGAGGAAACTCTGCACCGGGATGGGATGGCATTCCCTCAAAATTTATAAAAAATAATGTAGACTCTCTCATTTTACCAATATTATACATAATTAACCTTAGTATACGGGAAGGGAAGTTCCCAGAGGTGTTTAAAGTCGCAAAAGTCATACCTGTTTATAAGTCTGGCCAAAAAAACCTAACAATAAATTACAGAACAATTTCATTAATTTGCACAGTGTCTAAAATTCTTGAAAAATGTGTAAAACTCCAGCTATCGGATTACCTTGAACAAGAGAAAATTATATGTGACGCGCAGTACGGATTTAGACAGAACCGCAGTACATCACACTCATTATTTGATATAACCAAATTTATTTCTGAAGAAATAAATAATAAGAAACATTGTATTGATAACATTCCTAGATTTGGCTAAAGCATTTGATTCCATTAACAGACAATATCTAATTTCTAAATTGAGACTAGTCGGCATCGGTGGTCATTCATTAAACTGGTTTATCAGTTATTTAGAAAATCGTTTACAATATGTGTCCATCAATGGTGTTGATAGTGATAAAACTAGCATTGACTATGGAGTGGTCCAAGGTAGTACACTCGGGCCCCTCCTATTCTTGATATATATTAACAACCTTTCAAAAGTCAGAACTAAAGGGAAAGTTTTTTTGTTTGCTGACGACACGGCCATGGTATCGTCAGGACGCACGTGGGACGAGGCATATGAACACGCATCTACAGACATTTATAAAATAAACGCTGGTTAGACCAAAACACGTTAACCCTTAACATAAATAAAACAAAAAGTTTACCAATATTTTTTAAGAGTGAAAGTGACCCTAGCCCTAGGCAACTATTCCTTCATACCTGCGGCGACTTTCGGCCAGCGGCTTGTAATTGTGACGTCATAGAGCGGGTAGAGAAGTACACTTATCTAGGAATTATAATTGATCAAAAATTTAGTTGGGCTCACCACATTCATTATCTCAAACAACGACTTAGAAAGCTCATATATGCATTTTCTCAACTTGCTGGTGTTCTGACCACGGATTACTGTAGGACAGTTTACTATGCCTACGTGCAGTCTTTGCTTCAATATGGTATACTGGCGTGGGGTGGTGTCTCGGCCTCATGCTTGAGCCTCTGGCTGTTGCGCAGAGGTCATTAATCAAAACCGTCCTAAGCAAACCATCGAGATATCCAACAGAGGATCTGTACTCAGATTTTCGTGTTCATGATATACGACAGTTATTTGTTAAAACTCTTTTAGTCTTTATTAGGTCAAACAAAAACAACATTTTTACCAATTTGCAGCATAACTATCCCACAAGACATAGAATCAACTTTGGTTACCAATTTCCTAGATTAAATATAACCTCCCTAAAAAGAGTAACCCATGTTTTATCGCCCATATCTTATATCGCAATCTTCCGCCACAAATCCTAGAGTATGAGGAGAGCAGTGTCCCGGTGTACAAAAGAAAGGACTCACCATGGCTTGCCAGCATTGGCCGGACGGCTACGGAGGCGCTGATAAAATCCCCATATAATTGAGCTTATTAGAAAAAAAGTAAAATGTCAGTAAACTGCTGAGACCCTGGCATTGTAGATACATTTTTAGTTGTTAACTTTAATCTTTAGTTACTTTAGGAAATTCTTCTCTGAAATTACTTATTGTGTTATTTTGTCCTTATTCAATTTAGTACATGTTAACTTTTAAATTATGTTTTTATTTAATATTTACTTATTTTTAAGGAATAGTCACCCAGTATATTAATACATGTTTTACTTAGACGAATAAAATTATTGTATATCCAGAATGTAATAGATATTGTTATAGCAGATCTAGAACTCTTTTTCCGCACACGGGCTTATGCCTATGCGGAAAAATATATTTCTTTATAATTTGTATCTGTTTATTGTTTTGTTTAACTTTTGGAAATAAACGATTTGATTTGATTTGATTTGATATTAACTAAGTAAAATGAAATCCAAGCATATATGAAAATAATGCGTTGTTGTAGGCGGTGTCAGACGCCATGTTGGTGGAGCTGAAGCAGTGTTTCATGGAGGCATACGACGACAACCAAGACGGCAAAATAGACATAAGAGAGGTGAGTGATCGTGACAAGTATACGTGAAATAGACATTTTATGTAGCTTTTACAATTACTTTTACACTAAAAGGAAATAAGTTAGCTTATTTGATATGCAAAAGGAGCTACGTCCATTTTATAATTCACTTCCTACAAATTCAGTCGATTAACCTATTCGTCATACTGCAGCACAACGCATTTTGCTTTCAATGCATGTATTTCGGAGTTAATGAAAACATTTTTTTCTTTCTAGGTAGAATAATGTTAAGCTTAAGTCGAAGACGCTCTAAATTTATTTGGTTGTGTTTTCAACCACGGATTTTTCTTAAGAAAATAGCCTAGTTTTGTTCAATGATGCTATATCATTATACACATTTATTTATGTGCTAACTTAAAGGTACGATAATTTCAGTAATAAAAATTAGAATTTATTGGTGGGGAACATATTTTTATCATATCTTTCAGTTGAACTTGTTTTAGTAGAACAAAAATTGAACAGATATAAAAGTTGGCCGGGTGTCTCTTACACTGTTACAACGTCAAGTTGAATGCACGATGTTGTAATTTTCGTCACAACGTGTTACAGCTTGCCCAGCTGTTGCCGATGGAAGAGAACTTCCTATTGCTCTTCCGTTTCGATAACCCTCTCGAGTCCAGCGTTGAATTCATGAAGGTAAAAACATCGATTACGTTTATTTTAAACTAGCTGTAACCCGCGGGCTTTGCCCCGTTTAACTTCTTAATTTTCAAGATGATCTCGTTCGCATGGCTCAATCACGTCCTGGTTGAAGTTCGTTCGCTACGCTCACTCACCTTTAGGTTGGAGCTCGTTCGCTACGCTCACTCACCTTTAGGTTGGAGCTCGTTCGCTGCGCTCACTTTCCTTCAGGTTAGCTCGTTCGCTACGCTCACTTGCCTTCAGGTTAGCTCGTTCGCTACGCTCACTCGCCTCCAGGTTGAAGTTCGTTCGCTACGCTCACTCACCTTTTGGTTGCAAATTAGCTGTTGTCATAAATGTAAAAGAAATAATAGTGCTGCACCCTGTTGGTAATCCTTGTAACTTTAATGCTATTGAACATCATAGAACAGAACCAACTTGTTTAATTGAAACAGCTGTTAAGATTCATTAATTCCATTTCTCATAAGGTTAACATGGGAAACTCCAGAGCCACTGGGGCGGAGCCCGGAAGGATTTTTGGGATAAAAATATGCCTATATGTTAATCGGGAATATGAGCTATCATCATGCCAAATTTCAGCCCAATCCGACCAGTATTTTTCGCGTTTACTTTTCCCATACACACATACAGCAACCACCTCTTTTTTATAATAGTATAGATGAGCTTGCCTGATGGAGGCCAGAGTGCGGGATTTTAGCACTAGAGGCCTTGGTTTAAATCGTTCAAAAGGCTTTAAATCTATGACAGGTCTTTTAATTTGCCATATTGTTTTATTTGATAGGTACACAAAATCTATAATTTAAACTAGCTGTTACCCACGGGCTTCACCCAGTTGACTTCATAAGTGTATAGTCTGTGTATAGTCAGTGACATTAACACAACTATTGATTGGTTAAGCTGAAATAAACAAAACAGAATACAGTAATTCAAACAAATAATCACACCTGATTTTAATAAGGTAATAAATTAAAAGAATAACATACAAATAAGTACAGCTGAGGTATTTTTAACATTAGGTATATGGAAAGTTCCCTTTAAAATGGAATTACGACCTAAAGGGGCAATTTATGAAATAATGGATAGTTTTGCGCAAGGTTTCTCGTCATGACGAACATTTTAAGTATATGGTTTATAGGGGTGTGACTTGTAGTTTTCTCAAAAGTGTATGGGTACTTCGGGATTTATATATGGATACATTTCGCATTTAGTTTAAACAATTGTGTTAGTTGATTTATAAGCAAGTAAATGATATCATACACATACATACCTACATATCTGCCTTCTTAATTTACTGTACTTTTTATTCCTGAACTGGCTACATATTAAACACCGATAGGGATATATATTCTTTAAGGTAATAAATCATTAGCTAATGTTACAACGAAACAGTAATTATTAACCACAATGCTGGGCAACATCTTGAACTTTGAGTCATTGGACACATCGAACGTAGTCTGTTTAGTGTTTATGTAGCTAGTTCAAACAGAGTATCACTGTGCCGCAAGTTGTAAGTATTTAAGTTATTTCAAATAACTAACAAGCACACTTTACAAAACGTTTTGTGTAAATGTAGAGTTCACTAAATTATAGCTTTTTCATTTATAGATTTGGCGAGAATACGACACAGATGGGAGTGGATACATTGAAGCTGATGAACTAAAGGTAAGACATTTCTAAGAGAGGAATAATAATATAAAAACCGTAAACATGCGAGTGAGGTGTTATCTCAGTTAAAATAAAGAAAGGATTGGTTACAGTAACACGCAGTAAAATACTATCTGAATAATAATTAATTAATTAAATTTGATTAATTTTGTTATAAACAAAATGAAAAGAATATTCATAATGAAAATTTAACATATTTTTTTCTCAGCGATTGGGTTAAAGGTCTGTTGACAAATAGTATCTATAAATTGTAGTATGTGAATATGTTTTCCATTATTTTAGCCATCAATGTTCGTAGCTTAGACATGAAAAAGTCCCATCAATGCGCATTAAATGTTTGTTTGTTTCGGTGTTTACAGAACTTTCTACGAGATCTGTTGAAGGAAGCGAAGAAGATTAATGATGTGTCCGAGGATAAACTCATTGAGTACACTGACACCATGGTGAGAATTACAATTTTGTATTTGAGGATGAAGGCGTATTTGATCACTTTTGACAGTTTTTATTAATTTTTAGCGAATTTCTCTATAGGGAAGTAGTTATTACCGTAGGTGGCATGGTAAGACCTAGGCCCGGGACCGATTTACTTTTTCATTTTGATGTCCCCAGAGGCTAAAAACACTATTCGTTAAATTTGTTATATATGTATATATATATACGTCCGTGAACGCGATAACTTGAGTAATTTTTGTCCGATTTTGATGAAATTTGGTTTAAAGGTGTAACGCGGGATAAACTTGAATGAGTTCGCGAACCAGCATGATCGGGCCATGGGGACGGGGTTTTACGGGAGGTTTTATAAAGTAAAAAATGGCTTTTCTCATTTTTGACCCTCGAAATACAAAATTTCCCAATTTATCTCTAGACCTTTTTAAAGAGCTTAAAAAAACAAATAATTTAGTATATTAAAGTGTTTTTGTACGGTTTTTGGTAACGGAGAAAATTCAAAAAATTGTAAATTTAAAATTCCCATTTTATTCTTATGGAGAATATTGTAAAATGTTGTTGTTTGCTTGTTTATGGATATATTTTGATCAAACTTGACAAATTTATTTATTTTATAATAAGCTAGGAATATTTTACTAAAAAATACATTTTATTAGTTTCCTTGTAGCAGCAAACCTAGGTACTCAATCTTATGTTATAGATTTAATTAAAAATCAACTCAGACTAATGAAAATTCGCTTAGTATGCAGGTTTGCTGCGGCGGGGGTATTTTTTTAAAACTATAAGTTGTGTAACTTATAGTATAAGTTAGTTGGAATAGTTATGATGATTTGAAAAGATGCATTTGAAACATGTACATCTCTAATATGAACCCATCTATCATCTAAAATCATATAAAACCAATAATCTAAAACATTAACACGACATCTAACTACAGTTGTTACAGCTACAGATAAAATAAAATTACACATTACATTATATTATAAAAAAATAAAAAAAACTTCTATCTAATCATGGATTATAATCAATTTGCTAAAATTAAAAAATAGCACGTATATTTTTTATGACCTGATTTTTTATTATTTTATGATAACTGTTGTATTTGTCAGAGTGAATAATTTTTTAACTATCCTAGGTAAAAGATCTAAGACCGCTTTTAGAGAACTTGGCCTTATGCTAATTGTAAGGTAAAAAATGTCGCTTTATTATTCACTAGCAGAGTACCCGTCCTTCGTACGGGGGTTTTAGCCCAGCCAATCTAGGTAAAAAACCATGGAAACCCAGGAAATGCGAGATATAAAGCTGAATTTTGGCACATGTGTTCTTTATGATATCCTTGACTATATCCTAAAAGTCCCCTACCGTCCCATGTGTGCTTCTTCCGGTATAAAGAAAAAAGGGGGGAGGGTACGAATATTACTTAAACCACGCTCAAACGCGCAATGCTTGTGAACGGTAAGATATACAGATATACAAAAAAACTGATTTAGATGCAGTAAAATGCGTTCGTTAATAGAAGGTCATGTGATAAAGTGTGATACCTGTAACCATTAAGCATTAAAAACTAATTAATTATTTTTTTACATTTTTTAGCTAGAACTTATGTCATAATGCTGCAATTCTTGGGTTATTTCCTGATGTAAAAATGTAAAAGCTCTATAACATGTTAATAAAGTATACACATCTTAAAGACAATCGTCGGCTTAGTAGTGAAGCCGGATGCCGGCACGGTGAGGCAGAGGCTGTCATCGCTCACAGAATTCAACGTCAACGCGAACGGCGCGTAAGTCTCGCCCCCTCCCCCCCTTTATTTCGTTAAAACGGGGGAAGTACACAGGGGACAGGCGGGGACTTTTAGGGTGTGATTTTACATACCATAACAGACATCTGTGCAAAAAATTAGCTTTATATCTCGCATTTCCGGGTAAAAACCTATATTGACTGGGCTATTTTGGGTGTAAGTATAAAATGCCTATTGCAGTATACTTTTACTTAGTTCAAACTATAGCTGTTGTCATGATTGCAAACAAATTAATAGTGCTGCACCCTTTTGGTAAACCTTTTAAATTTTTAATGCTATTGATTTTTTTTAGAATAAACTTGTTTAGTTGAACCAGCTGACAACATTCATTCTTTAATTCCTTTTAAATATACTCATAAGAATAATCATCATCAAGACTAACATGGGAAACTATAGAGCCGCTGGGGCGGAGCCCGAAAGGATTTTTGAATATGGCTATATGTCAATCTGGAATGTGGGCTATCATCATGCCAAATTTCAGATTAATCTGACCATGCGTCAGATCAGGTTAATGCGTGATTGAACTTAAAAAAACACAAAAACTGTCACATTTATAATTTTACTAGCAGAGTACCCGTCCTTCGTACGGGGTTGGCATAAAATTCTTATTGCAGTTTTACTCAAGCTTTGCGTTTGTAATGGGAGAGGACAAAATAACAGTTTGATAAAATTTGCTTTTTTAAATTTACGGTATACTATAATGTTACACATCTACCATAGCCATAATATTTTACTACTTCACCTAAACAATAGAGAAAAATAAATTATCAAAGATTCACAAAATATCACACATTTTTCATGAAATTGAAAACATAAACATAACTGTAAACAATCCTACTTTGACAGTTCACATTGCGTATCACAGTTTTTTGGTGTTGCTTGGTTCAAATTAGCTGTTTTCATAAATGCAAAAAATATTAGTGCTGCACCCTGTTGGTGAATCTTATAACTTTTTTTTATGCTTTTGCATATCATAGAACCAACTTTTTTTAGTTGAAACAGCTGACTAAATTCTTTAATTCCCTTAAAATATAAATACTCATAAGGTTAACATGAGAAACTCTAGATCCACTGGGGCAGAGTCCGAAAGGGTTTTTGAGATAAGAATATGTCTATGTTAATCAGGAATGTGAGCTATCATCATACAAATTTTCAACCAAATCTGACCAGTAGGCCTAGTTGATAAAACACACAAACATTCACATTCATAATATTAGTAGCCTATGATATGATTAAATCAAAACTAAATTTTATTTGAACATTTCCAACGGATTTTCAGTTGAGATATCTTTGGGTAAAATAGCAATAGTAGTGTATTTCCATAAGATTAGAAAAAATATACAAACAAGGCTGTGAAATGTAACCCACGATTTACACAAAACATCAAATATTTTCTTGTGACCTGAGTTTTCACAGTTTTAAGTGTTTTTATTTAAAGTTTGTATACTTATTGTGTAACTAGTTAGTTTCAATATTGGCACGTTCAATTATTTATTTAAAGTTTACAGATTCTTTTTCAGGCTAACCTAAAATACAGCATGCACAATATCGAATAGCACTTGTTATAAACAATCACTATTTATTAGGAGTTAGTTATTGTATTTATCACCTTTAGCGAAAGCTTTTTGAACATTTTATGCAGATGAAAAAGTGCAACGCTATACATAACTTAGTACCATTTTGGAGATTTAAGCTCATTATGCGTATGTTGCAGCTTCAAGTATTTGATGCCAACAAAGATGGACGACTTAAACTTTCAGAAATGGCTAAGTAAGTAAACATTGTATTTGAAAAAGAACACAAAACACAAACATCCATTCAATTATAAGGAGTCTATTTCAGCATTTCCTAAACCTGAGAGTTAAAAAAGAATACAATTTTTAGATATTCTTTATTAATTGATAAAAATGAGCAAGTTTTAAAATAGTTTAGTTATATAGTCTTCAGTTATTCTTATTATTAATTATTGTCATTCTTTGAAATATTTACTGTTCACTGATTACATGTGAACATATTATTTGTTAGTTACTAGGCTATATTAAATATTAATCAATTCCATACAGTACTTACAACTATTAATTTTAAAATATTTCAGCTATGTGTTACCATTCAAAATAGATAATAAGTAAAATAATATATTGTTTACGATTTTGAAACCTTAAGCAAACTGTCTTGAGTATACGTTACGAAAACCACAACTCGATGTTATCGCTCTGCTTTGGACTCTTGACAGTAATATGTGTTAAAGTTGTTATTGTGTAGGCTGCTGCCTGTGAAGGAAAACTTCCTATGTCGGCAAGTGTTTAAGGTATGTTCTAGACTACAATACTGAACTGTTTTTTTTTGAACTTGAACAAAATAAAACCTTCCCTATCCAGCTGTCTTAGTAATAAATGCTTTCCAAGCATTATTTTTCACCGAACAGTAAAATAAAACATTGTAAAATGTAGTTTTTATTTCTGTGGTTTTATTTCAAATCAGTTTTCCACAACCAGCTACCGAAACCTTCTTCATAAATTTTGAAAACATCATTTATCGAGTGTTGCAGTTATTTAACAGCTGGCTTATAAACAAACGCCTTTCCCTGTATGAAAAAATCTTTGGTTTAAACTATGAAAATAGTATATTAACTGTCAACCATAATTAATTATCATGTAATGCTTTATTAAATAATCATTGTATTAACACATTACCACAGCAGTTAGGCTTTCAATACACACACACACACACACTTCGTTGTTTATTGTTTAAAGCAAATGAAACTGTTTTCCCCGTGACCATTGTTTGCTTGTTTGTTCTTGTCTGTCAGGACGGGATGGAAGTAAGTACACGAGTTGGAGTGTTCAAGTTTATGAGATGCCGAGTTGCTGTATATATCAGCCCTAAGTCCACCATCAATTCTCACATTTTTGTTTTCAAAAGGAAACAGTGGTAACCATTTGTTTCACGAAGGAAGTTTTACAAAAGCTAGTCAAATGTTTTGTCACATCAAATTATTGGCATTTTTAAAACCAACCATTGACATGTTTTGTATAATATATGATACAAAACAAGTCGTTATTATTAAATGGAACTACGTTGATTTTTGCTATTGGGGTATTTACTAAATTTATTTTATTGTTTGCATAAATTAATTTACGAAGTATTGTTCCAGATATGGAAATATAAAATTTAATGGGGTAGTAAAAATTGTAGTTTTTGACTATCCTATTTTAACGTCTTTGATATCATGAAAGTAGTTTATTTTCATGGAATTTTATTGTTTTAAAATTCGTTTTAACAAGCATAGGTTTGTCACGATTAAAAATAGGTAAGAAAAAACGCGGGAACTGTCAGTATTGCCAAGAGAAATTAGGATCAAAGTGAAAACGATAAAAGTAATATTACTATTAACATGAAATTTCGGAAAATATTTAATATTTTTACTGTTTATTGTGTATAAAGAATAAAAATGATTATACGTTATAATTAAGACCCCTTAGACATTAAATTTTATTTAATTAGTTGTGTAAATTAGAAAAATGTTTTTTTAGTATATATAGCGGTACATGTGTGAGTAGGTGAATGTGTTCACTGAAGAATTTAAATATCTCAATTTATATTACCGTTAAAACACAGTTATATTTTGAACTCAAGGCAGGGATATCTGCGTAGGATCATGGGAATTGAAGTGGACTTTGCCAAATTAGGCTTGGCTGAAATGCATGGCTCTTAATGCGCAAAACTTGTGCGTAATGTAACAGTTTTGAAGAAAACGACATAAACTTGATAAATTCAAATATAAATAAAATGTTATAACATTCATACCTCATTCCTTTACCTAACCTAATTTGCCCTCCCTATGATACATCGTCACTGTACAAATATGTAGCAAATTTACGTTTAACAAAACCTATTGTCATGTTACTATCACTTTAAGAGTAATAGTTTTTCCTAAGAAGAATGTTGTAGCAGTTAGTTCTCTTACTTTTCCAAATATTTTATTTTTACTACACATCACCTCTAGGTACAAAAATATATTAATTAAACAATATATCTTTGCTGAATAATATAGAATTCTCTGTCCCTAGAGGAACCAGATCCAAAACGTTATTCGCCAGAGGATTCCAAGCAAGAAATTACTCCTACCACCATGGGATGTCCAGGTTGCTGAGGTTGGGCGGAGAGGCTTCGACGCACATCGACTTCTTCGGGCTTTCTTCTTCCTCATTCAAGAGAAACGCCTCAAGATATTTACAAGAGAGAACATCTTAAAAGCATTTTCCTGCCTTCCTGTGGGAACAAGTGATGTGTAGTTCTTGTTTAAGTGGTGCCTTTAAAGGGCCACACCTTAGTTCTTTTTTGAGGCTGGTGTTACCTCAGTGAGGTGCAGTGCAATCTAGGTGGTGCCTTTAAAGGGCCACAAATGAAAGTTGGTGCTTTTTAGCATGGTGATGGTGTTTGACATAGTGTTCTTTCCATGTCATGCATGCACAAACACACACACTCCCACAAATTATACTCTTGTTAATACTTCTCTAATATCTTGCTGTCTCTTGTTATTATTTTCACAGCTTATAATATGTTATCTTTGTTGCCATAGTCTATTTTTGTTGGTCTTACTTTATCGTTGTTGTTATTACCTGTTGTAAAGTTACCGTCATTACTGCTTGTTACTTGTTACCATTATTACTAGGCATAGTCTACTTCTGTTGTTATTTGTTGTTATTTATTGTAGTTCTTAGGTCCCACTCATGTATTTATTGCCAGCTTCCTTATTTATTATTATTGCACGATTTTTGTAACCACTGTTATTAACTTATTATTTGCTACTTATGTATAGTTCAGTTCGACAAAATTGTATTTATGGAGAAACCGTTGGAATAAATAAATAAATAAATAAATAAATATACACGTTACAACGTTTTTCGTTCGGTTAAATTTCCAATACATTGAAACCTATTGAAATTGTTTACTATTTACATTCTATGACTGCATTGGTCGCTTTATACAGTGTGTAAATTAAGTATTGAAACAAATCTGTATTTTTAAAACCAAAATATATAGAAATATTCTGTTTGTAGCACTGATTCTTAACAAAGGTTCCGCAATTTTTTACAAAAAAAATTGTTTAACCCCTCAACAGGGTAGGGGGTGACTTATTTTTTTCAAATAGCAACCTCTATTGAGTGACCCTCATTTTGAAGGGCTTGTAAAAAGAAACACAATGACACGACTTTTGACAAACCCTTCAAAAAGAGGAGTCACTCAATAGGGGTTATTATTAAACTAGGTGTGCAATGCAATTGTTTGCTTGCAATATTGAGCTGAATCCAATACTTTAATTTCTACAGTCAATGCTACATCTGTTTCTCGTAAATGAAATATATACTTGCAGTATCCAAAGTCAATGTTTGGTTATCGTAAATGAATTGTATACTTGCAGGAACCAAAGTCTATGTTTCATCTGGTTCTCATAAATTAAATGTCTACTTGCAGTATCCAATTTCAATGATATACAGTATTTGGTTCGCATAAATAGAATGCCTATTTGCAGGATCTGAAGTCAATTGTATGGTACGTCTGGTTCACTTAAATGGAATGTCTATTTAAAGGTTCTAAAGTTAATGGTACGTCTGGTTCACATAAACGAATTGTTTATGCGGTATACAAAATCATGGCACATTTGATTAAAGTAAATTAAATTGTTTATTTGCAGTGTCCAAACTCAATGGTACATTTGGTAAAAGTAAATAAATTGTTTACTTGCAGTATCCAAACTCAATGGTTTATTTGGTTCTCGTAAATTGCCGTAATTGTCCACTTGCAGCATCCTATTATAAGTCAATGGTTCATTTGATTTACATAAATGGAGTGCATATTTTCAGTATCCAAACTTAATAGTATCTTTGGTTCACATTAATAGAAATCATATTTGCAGTAGGTAAGTCTGCAAATATGATTTTCATTGCACCCCTTTGAATAGGTATTCAAAGTCTGCATTAATTAGTCTAGTTCACGTGTCTAAATGGAAAGTCTACTAGCAGTACCCAAACTCAATGGTAGGCCTATATTTGATTCACATAAATGGAATGGCTATTTGGAGTATTTAAAGTCAATGATGCAGCAGTCTAATTCAGGTGACCCTAATTATTGGTTACTCATTTTGTAGTAAATTATGCTCCATGCTATTAATCGGATTGTTCTTTCCTTTTTCTCTGTACGGTATTTGTAATGTGCTATTTTAGATGATTCGTTGACTAACATATGATACGATTCTTGTTTACCTTTTGTTGTTTGTAATCTTGCAAATAATGGCATGGCAACCAATTAACCCATAAGGCCCATGTTAAATCTCTACATTTTAAATTCGCGTAGGGAAAAGCCCTGTGGTCCGATTTGTACAATTTCAGATTTATACCTTCCCATGGTTAGTTAATATGATTGTGCTAAATTTTGTGCATATCACTTCAGCCGTTTAGGAGGAGTATTTGTAAAACAAAAGCAGGAGTGTAGTTTAAGAGCTTCGCTCAAAAATAAATCAACCCCACCCCTTACCATGTTAAAGGGGTTAAAAAATATTGTTGATGTAAAAAATTTCCAACCTATGTTAACAATCAGTTCCACAAACAGAATATATCTATCTACAGATTTGTTTCCATATGTTTGTGAAATTGGTGCTTTTTCACATACATTAAATCAAATTTTGGAATACCGGTACCTGCCATTTTGGCTAGGGACCCACCTCGGGTTTGTGTCATTGTGTTTCTTTTGACAAATCCTTCAACATG